ATTCTAAATTACGACAGTTTCCGACACTCTCCCCCCATATACCTTGCAGCGAGGTATATGTCCCTCAAAGGAGACTGGTCTAACCAAACAGTACTAATAAAGGATAAAGTTCTATAAAAGTTCAGTGTTCAATTTGCACTATAGTTTTCGTCAACGCTCTACCTCTGCTACTTCTTTGATGCGTTGTTGAGCTGCCATTGCAGCATCTCGTCTTGTCGGAACGACGCCGCTTCCGGATTTAAGTTGATAAGTTCCTTCGTTTCTTTACGGTCACAGAATAACTCGAGTGCGTACAGGTGATTCACTGCTCGTTCAAGGTAGGTTTTGAGGTTTTCCCTGCACGAAGTTTCACCGCACGAACAACACCATCACGTCCTTTGTAAAGCTCGTCGACAACACCGAGAGGCCACTTTCCACGACTTCGTTCATCCGATTGTATAATAACCACGTTACCCTTTTTCACCGTGAACGATGTCTTCTTGTAATTTTGGTTATGCCGCTCTCCTCCATGAAGGGTGTATAGATGGGCATCTTCCACCAACTTGGTCGCAAAGATGTGCTTGTCGGACAGATAAACTGGATAATGACCTTGAATGCGTCCCCTGCACTCCAGGATACCTTGGGGGTTCTCTTGTAAATTGAGTCGGAGCTTATCGTCTTCGCTACCACGGCTCTGTTGTACTTTCTTTTCCCAAAATACATATTGCTGCTCGAGCTCATCAGTTGTTAGTGGTCCCAAAGTTCTACTATTGGTTTTTCTCAGGTTTGTTACGAACCTCGTAATAAATATTCTCATGGCTTTTCGTAATGCAAACTTCTCAAGGATGTGGTCAAAACAGTCCGAGTTATCTTGGGTCAATCCCAGCACGGTTTTGATCATCTTCGCTTCAGCTTCGATTTCTTTGGTTGCACAGGTTACGATATTTTCTGGCCACATACGATTATCTTTAAGCTAATCTGGTCCATTTAACCACAGTTGGTTGTCTTTCACTTGGCCACCTCTGCTTCCCACATCAGCAGGATTGCAATCGGTCGGAACATAGCGCCACTGTATGTTAGGTTTTGACTGGATCTTTTGAATTCTATTGGCTACGAACTGTTTATGCTCTGCCCCGCCCTTCATCCAGTGTAGCGCCACTGTACTATCGAGCCAACCATAATTTCTTGCACAGGAAATCCATCCAGGGTTTGTCGCACGTTGTCTACGAGGTTGGACGCCATGTGTGCAGAGACCAACTTTAGCCTGGGTATTGTCAACCCGTGTTTCGCCAATCTCGCCTTCACTGTTACTAGACCTTGCGTTGTACCAGCGTGTTGGTTAACCACAGCATAAACAACGGCTGCTACACCCTTGCCACTTGCGTCACCAAAGGCATGCAATACAATTGACTCGATGTCCTCCTGGAAGGTGGGTATTGAACGTGGCACAGCTATGTGGTTTGGCAGTTGCTTCTCCCATTTGAACAAATCATTCTTTTGCTCAGCAGATAACGGAGCATCCCACGATATCTTCTTCTCACACACTTCACGATAAATTATCTCCCCTTGTAAAGTTCTTGGTGATAACAGTCCGAGGGGATCATATATTCGAGCCAGCTTACTCAAAATCCCACGCTTGGTTGTAGTAACTTCCCACAAGGGAACAACGACTTTTAACTCATCTTTATCTTTTGACCAAGCTAGTCCCAGCATGCTAGCTTCTCCTTCACTTGGTGTTCCAAGTTGTTGCTTCGCAAATGTTTTCTCTTCATTGTCGCTCGTCGTTTCTTCCAACTCTCGTCTGTTCGAATGCCACTTGTGAAGTGTGAATGTAGCATCGTTGAAGATCTCTATCGCGTCGATCGTCATTCATTGTCATCTGTGCTTGCTCTACTGTTGTCTTCCCGCTCACTAAGTCGTCCACATGTAGGCTCTTTTGCAATTCAACTACTACGTCTGGTTTCCTACTTTCCCAACACTTCAGATGATGTTCAATCACTCCTCCGAGGGGAAATGGTGACGAGGTCAGCCCGAACAAAGCTCTTGTAAATCTTAAGGTCTCGACTTCACGACTCGCATCTGGACTCCAGTGAAACCGTAGTGCGTCCCTGTCCGTTTCTCTTATCTGAACTTGCAAGAACGCTTGTTTAATATCTCCGCACAATGCTACAGGGAGGAATCTCATTCTCACCAAGACCTTCCAAAGGTCATTCTGCAGTAGGAGGCCTGGATTCAAACATTGGTTTAGACTAGGGGCTCCGCTGTTGGCTTTGGTTGAGGCGTCGTAGACGATTCTCACCTTTGTTGACTCAGCGCTTTCTCTTATCACGGGTTTGTGGAGGATGTAGAATTCTACTCCTTGGGGGTCTTGACTGGCGACTTCCACAATGCCTTCTGCCTTTTGGGTATCAATGATCTTGGAATAGCTATCTGTTAAGCCGTTCTGTTGTAGCTTGTGTTGCAGGTTGGCGAGTCGTCGTAGACTTCCATTGTAGTTGTTCGGCAACTGTGGGTGATTGCCCTTCCACGGAAGGCCCGTTTCATACCACCCTTCTTCACTTCTTCACTTCTTGTGAGTTGTTCCCGAAACTCTGCACACACTTCGTGTTGATCATGTTCTGGGTTGTCTGCTAGTCCAAGAACGTCCATCCGACACAGTTCTTCAAAGTCGCATTGACTCGTCTGCGTGAGAAACATAGCAGAGTAGTCAAGCTCCTTGCCCAGAGCTAATATGGTCCAGCCAAACTTGGTTCTTTCGGCGACCGGCTCACTTATTTTACCAACCCGAGGTTTTTTGTTGGGTTTGATACGCATGTAATCACCTGCTCCCAGAATTAATTGCACAGGTAGCTTTGGTTTCTGATCTTAGTCTTCCATTTGCACACCCTCGAGATGTTGATAGGAATTTATCAGTGTTCTATAGTTTGGATTGTCCACATATAGCAGTTCTCCTTTGTCGACTTTCCTAACAGTCACATCCATTGCAAATTCTCCATTCACTGCCTCTACACACACAGTTGACAGTTCCATTTCCTTCGTTACTGAGCCAAGTATCATCTCAACACGTCTCACTTCCTTTTTACGAGTTCGTTTCGGCAGCAAATCCAACAAGGCAGCTGAAGCGTACGAATTCCCTGAACCGGCATCTAACAGCGCACGACACTTTATACCCTCGACACTTACTACTACAACTGGATACACTAACGGACCCCCATTCGATCCGCTCGCGGTTAAAAGCTGATCCTTCTTTGTACATATTGATGAGTGATGCTTCATATTACATTTCGAACATTTGTGAACACTCTTGCAGTCTGCTGCTCGATGTTTAGTTTCCGGTACAATTAAAGCGAAGTCTCTTTTCTGCCAGTAGTTTCTTTCGTTGATCGATGTCAGTTACAGTCAAGCAATCCTTCGAGTTGTGAGTTCCAGCATCACAATAAACGCATGCTCGTTTACGACGATCACCGTCCTTTGCATAATAAAATCCAGATTTGCGTTGTTTCTTGGTATTCCCGCTTTCATCAACTGGATTAATGTCTCTCCATTTCTTTAGTTCCACGATAAGGCGTGCAAGATCCCAATCTTGTCAGCCCTCATTTCCTCTCACCAGATTTAATTCCTTTGAGTTTCTCCAATACACTCCTTGTCATACCGCTTACTTTGTCCAGAGTTTCCAGCGCTTGCGTGTTGTATAACAGGCTCTTGTAAAAATCATTCACTTTGGCAGGATTAGAGTCTGTAATAACAGGTAATCCCATTATGTTTTGAACGTGAGTGTTCACTATCTCGCCTTGTTTTCCCATATTCATTTTTAAGTATGTTTTTTGCTCTTTGATACCCTTCTGAGGTAAAAGGTAATCCTTCTATTTCTGCTCTAACTTTCGGCTCTAACAATTCTTTCAAAAACGCAAATTTGGTCACGGAAGGCACGTCAGATTTATCGATTTCTGCCTCGAATGTATTCCAAAACGGAAGCCAATTTTCAAAATTTCCATTAAATTTTGTCACGAGTAATTTGGGTAATTTAATAGACGTTGATTTTTCTTGTTCTTTCGCTGATGTCTTGATTGATTTTTGATATTCCAATTGTTTATTCAACAGTTCAGTTTTGTGCTTCAATTCCCGATTTCGTTCTTCATCCTTCGCTGCTTGTTCTAGCTCGAACTTTTGTTTCTCGAATTCAAGTTGTTTTTTTCTTTTGATATCTATGGCAACGCGTTCGGTTTCTTCGGCTGCTGCTCTCTCTGTTTCTTTAATCTCATTCAAACGCTCTCGTATTTCACTTACTTTGTTATCTGCTTCGCTAATTCTCGACTCGATTTCCTCAGCCCAGTCATGCATTCATGGCAGAGTCACCACAACAGTATATGGTACCAATTACTGTGGGCCCTTTAAATTTTAAATAGATAATAATACACAAATAAAACACAACGAAAACTTCGATTTACCTGATCAAAGTCATCACACGAATTGGAACTTGAAGTCAAGCAAACAAATTCCTCGAAGTTTTCGTTGTATTGTATTTCACAAACATACTTAATTAGCTGCTTGCCAATTTTATAAAACATATAACAATTCATAGAATATAAAATAGCTATTGAAACATAATAAACAAGGCTAGGAAGATCTGACAAATTCGAAAAATAGATCAAAACAGTAAAGAACCTGGACGTGCACAAATTGACACAAATCTATCCAAATTTAGACAGAACATTTATTGAACCAATTTGTCGCGTTAAAACCTCGGTTTTAGTAGAATCAATAACTTCGTCAGACTTTTTGATGGCAAAGTTCAATGCTTTTATTGTCCAATTTAATTCCAATAGCTTTTTGTCAACAATCTCAGACATATTCAATATAATATTTCACGGTCACGCTCGTCACAAATCACAACAAAATCTCGATATAAATGCTTTGGATTGTACCAAAACACAGCTAAAATCCCGTCGAAGGTGCCACTATGTTGGGGATTGCCTCCAAGTATCGCC